GCTGGTGTAAAAGAGGTGGCAGGCTGTATTTAGACAGGGCTATGGTAAAGTAAACTTGCGAGACGATTTAAATAAACCTCAGTGGAATGGTTTCGTCGTGCGGCAGCAAGGGAGGGAAGGAGTGATGAAGGGGAGAGAAAAAGGGTCCGGTCTATGCAGTGGGCTGTGCTGAGTGAGTGCCTCCTGAGACATAAACAAAAGAGGTCTGGGTAATTCAATGAGGAGTGCTGGATGTGGGAATGAAAGCATGTGTTGCAAAGAAGCAAATAGGTGGAGTCTTTGAAATTATTTCACAGTTTGTAATCTCTGCAGTCATCTTCCCCCCCCAACCGATCGGCCAGGATGACAGAGGTTAGTACAAAGTTCCTGCTATGTGGGCAGGGGAGGAGCTAGATTAGAGAGCATGAATTTTTTACCAGCACTGAGCTGATGCGCGCAACACACGGTATAAAACCTGAAAGCTTCATTTCCGAATCTGACAGCCAAAAGGGCCGAAAAAGCCCACGAGTGGAGCTGCGGAGAGTAAACAGATCAGATTCTGCCCTCTTCTACTTCGAGCTCATCCCAGCTTCCCCTCAGCCCTCCCTCCCTTAGAAGCAGCAGCAGCAGCTCTGAAATCAGCCAACGTGAGCTGAGCCAGAAAAACATCATCGGGAGAAAACCATCAAACAAGCAGAGTTGGAGTGGTCAGATACTTCCCAGAGCTGCATGGAGTCGGATTGTAGCACTTATCTCTGTAACTGGGAGCGCTGGATTAAAACTTTGTCTAACTTTTACATTCACTTGTTACAGAATTTGGCAAAAGTATTCATCCCCTCTGGACTCTTTCACATGATGTCACGTTACAGTTCCTCTCTTCAATGTATTTTATTAGGACACGCCAACACAAAATGGTGCATGATTATGAAGATATAGACACATCTTTACAAATAAAGACTGAAAATGAGTGCAGTTTTATTTGGTCATGACTCTAAATTCCATTCTATTCAATTCAAAACTACTTTATTTATTGAAAATAACTGTTATTCAGGACACCAGTCGGTCTTCCAAATAATCTGAAAAAGCCTCTGACTGACGACTTGCTGACATTCTCATGACTGTCATGCTAACAGCTCCTAATCCAGGCAGCAGAGACAATATTTCACAGTAGTATATCCTGAATGACACCATTCACTGTTGACAAGCACAGCTAATCCACCTCGTTTGCTTTTTTTTGCTCCGACTTTGGATTCGGGGATATTTTCCTTGCCCAATATGATGGATCAAAGAAATAGTTTGAACTTCCTCCTTCTCTCTCTTTGCATTCATAAAGCTGACTTTCCAACTCCTTTGGGATTTGGGGTCATAGTTTAGGTATTATTTGAGCTGTTGAGATACTAATGCTACTCTCAATTGTAAAAACAACACCTTGTTACCATGATTACAGATAATAAAAAATGTTTTAAAGAAGAAAAGTTAAAGCAGGAGAACAGGAGGAAGACTGACAATAGGGAGAGGGGAAAATATGCACCCAATCTTAAAGGAAACTGCTATATTTCTTTCAGTTAGTTTTACTGACCCTAAATGACAATTTTATTCATGTATTAACACAGAAACAAAAGAAGATATTTCCTGAATTCAAGTTAAGTTATATTATCCAACAATTTATCATGTTAGTCAGTTTACAAGATTAAGAGGCTTGAGAAGATTACAGCTGCCTGTTGTAGAATTTGCATGTCACTCTGAAGAGAACCTGTAAATATCTTTCTAAAAATACTCAAGTTGCATCTGTTTGATGCTCTGAAGGCAGGCCTGGTTTCAAAAATAGGCTTAAAAGATGAGACCTTTAAAAGACAAGAGGGACATATTTGTTTCACTTGGAGCAGAAACGTTAAAGCAAAGGACACGTTAACTTCCGCTGCATAAGTTTTCAGAAGTAGGTGTTTGTGCAGAAAACTTGCTATACGTTTTTCACCCACAGCACTTAAAAGACTTTTGGATAGTTTTTGAAAACAGTGTTGACCTTTGATCGTATCTGCTTTTCACTCTGAAAAATATTCCCAAACATTCAAACTTACTTTCACTGTAAGCTAGGGGAAGTGCAGTAACTCTCTTTCGCGGGCTAACCAGCAGCTGCAGGTGGGGGAGGGGCAGAGCTGCTGTACTTCATGCTCCACACAGAGAAAACTTAAGGGAAGAGCATGACCAAAAACTTCTTCACATTATTCAAATCGGTTGCTTTTCAAAATCTTGATAAACTTTGCTACCATTGGGGATCTGGGCAGCTTAATTAGTAGAGCCTCCAGCGGAGAGGCCACAGTTCTCATTATGCTTTTCCTATGTTAGGTTATAATTTTCAAGCTATTTCTTCTCTTTCTCTTTGCACCCTCTTTTCTGTAAAATTACTTTTGAAATAAGGCCTCTAGTTCCAAAAACAAACAGAACTTTGGTACTGCTTGCAACACAATGCTAAATTACAATAATAGAAAGTTGCGACAGAATAATCCAGAAATGAATTATATCAATTCTTATGCTTACTTGGGTTATCTGCTGATGTAGCTAGCCTGCAGTCAGCTGCTGTACATGCATGCCTTTCATAACTTTCTAACACTAGTTTTTAAACAGTGCTACCTTAATAAAAGTAATGGGTGAACTTAGTTTCCTTGTGTTTCAGGTTCTCCTTTTGGTTCTCCGTTCGGTCTGATCTCATCCAACTTTGATTTCAGCCTCTTGTCTTTTTATTTTTTTATTGAAGACTCTTTCGTTTGGCTCTTTAAGGAAGTGCCGCTTTATGCCTACACCTAATGCCGTAGGATTGCAAACACCAACCAGATCACCTCTCGACTGTCTGTGTTTTATCACAATCTGGCACTAAATGTCTGTGTTAAATGAGTGAACAATGAGGTAAGCAGCGCCGGATCAACACCTGCTGCGCTGCCCAGCAATGCAGCTGCATTTGTCATGGCCTCCACTCCTGCGTAACTGCCTGGCACCCCCCGCTGGTTGGCCATCTGCCCACTTGGCTCAAATGTTTACAGCCGAAAACAAGAAGTAAAAACACATACCTAGCAGCGTTAGACTTGCTGAGTGAAGTTAAACAGATGTTGACACATGCTTTGCCTCAGGGTGCCAAGACGCAGCTTGGCCTCGGCAACAGGCAATAAACCGACACGTGCTTCAGGAAAAGAGATGTGAATGAAGACGAAATTCTACTTTGGCCTTTTTGTTTAGTTTCACCACTCAGGTTGGCAGCGCTTGTCGAAAGATTCCTACTTGTGGTCCACTTGTTTCGACTTGTCCCGTAGTGAGCAAGTCGGTGCTCTAGAACCCAAATCCAGATTTAGTTTCAAGGTTTTTCTTTTGGAGTTCAGTTAAGGTTGGAAGATGAGTGGCACACATGTGGGACTTTAGTGTGATTGCAGTGCAAGAGTTTCAATTTCAGCAGTAAAAATAGAGAAAAGCTTGCGAGCACATATTATGCAAATGTTGTAATGTTTTATCTTGGTTGGAGTGGGGAGGGTGGTAGAAAAAGAAGCCTCCGGAAAAGGATGTTTTTGTTCTCGTTCGGTGCGTTCCATTGGTTGTATTTAAATGTTATCCTTTGTGTGAAACCACATTATGCTCGGCATGGTGAGAAATGTGCCGTTTGGCTGCTTTTCTTTTGGTTATTTACCGCTGTTTATTTTGAGTTCTATCAGCCTTGAGACGTTTAGAAAGACTTCCTCAACAAACAGTTCAGAGCAGGGCATCTTTTAGCTCTGCACGTTTAATGAGTTCTCATTTTGGGTGGGTCCACTGAAAGATAGCCATCAGGCTCTGCCTTTCATAGCAGCTGCAATTTGGATTAGCAGAGTGGTCTCACATGGACTTAAGAAAAAATATTTTAAAAAGTAGGTTTTTCTCTTTTTTCTCTGCTGCACAGCTGCTTCACCATTCTTTCCTATGTCCAATCCTGAAGTTAGGAAAAAACTTGAAGCAAGGATTAAAGTAGAGTTTGTTCATAAGACAAAAATACCAAGCCTTCGAAATCTCACAGAAAAATGTTAAATCTATCAACGACATGACAAAATAGCAAACTTTCCCAGACATGTCCATTAAAGTATGTGATGTGTAAGAAGAGCAATAATCAGAGCCCATAATAACTGAGATTCACAACATAGATGGGTGAAAGCCACTGTTTAAAGAAAGACACAAGAAGCCATGGTTGAGGTTTGCCACAAGTAGAAAATGCCGGAAATGTGGAAGAAGGTCGTCTTTTCATAACTGACTAAAATTTAACTTCCTTGGCTGCCTTTATTACTCCATCTGCCATGCAAATTAGCGCTTCACAACACGCTCACATTGTTCCCACAGTAAAATGTGGCGGTGGCTGCATCATGCTATGGTATTGCTTTTGTATAACAAATGGGAGAATGAGGCCAACTAGGACAGCCTTTAGTTTTGCACTCCTCAAATCTTGGCTTTGGCAAAAAGAAAGCCACAGGAAGTCCCATTAGGAGTTTGCCACAAACCATGCAGGAAACATAGCAAACCTTTAAAAAGATGCTCTGGTAAGTTGTAACCAACTTACCAACTTACCAGAAAACTCTTGCCTTGATGGAGGAGCAGAAGAAGGGAAGGCATTGTAAGCTTCTTCCATCATGCCTGGTGAAGAAGGTGCTCTTATACCAAATGTACATTGTGGCCTACTTGCAAAAAATGATATTTCACATCATGCCATTTCAACTGTGAGACATGGTGATGGCTGCAACATGCTGTGGGGTTGTTTCACTTCAGCTGAAAGGTGGTGGAAAGATGGCTGAAGCTAAAGACAAGTTTACAAAGACTTCCACTGCGAATGTTTCAGAGCTGGCCACTTTTTGCTCTGTGCATTTAATGAGCTCTCATTTTGGGTGGGTCCACTGAAAGATAGCCATCAGCCTTTCATTACAGCTGGGTTTTAGCTTACCTAAGGAAATTCACATGGAAATATGAAGAAGTGTTTTACGAAAGTCTGCTTTTCTCTTTTCTTTTCCACACAGCCGCTCCACCGTTTTTCCCCACCTTCCATCCTCCTGTGCCAATTGACGACAGACACACCCAGGGACGTTACATCTACGAGCCATCGCCTGTAAACCCTCTTCATGTGTAAGTCTCTCAAACCGGTCACACACACAAACACAGACCCTAAAATATCGCTGATCACAACCGATACAAATCAACCCCCGAAAACTTCCTTCCGCCGTTGGGCGTGGAGCGTCCTCTCTGCTTCTCAGGATCAAAGGCCATGGCCCCTGTGCGTGCGCAACATGATCTGCATGTCAGAGACACACAAATGAACATGTGTCAGAGACATGAAAATGAGAGCAGGGCCGAGGGGAGCCTGGGAGTGCGCCCGGTTCTTATGATCAAGCCCTGACAGGAGGAGCGGGGAGTGATGCCTCTGCCGACATCAACCTGTCTTTGACAGACACAGATGGGCTCTTGTCTGTTCAGTCTATCAAATATATAGAGTCAGGTAAAAACACGGCGTTATTCCTCGGTAAGGACAAAGGTGGTCAGTCGGTGTGACTCCTACTGGAGACTGGGTGGGTCAGAGAAGAACTTCAAAAGCACTTTCCTTCTTTCTTTCTGTTCACCTTACCTTCATCATTTGTATTCTTTGCATCCAAGTTGTAAGCAGCACTACTAGCTGCTTCATTGTCCCTGCGGCGCTTGTTTTCCAGGCGAAGGAAGCGATCATGGCGCGACGAGGACAAATTGGATGGGGCAGCTACTTGGGCCGCATTATGTTTGATATTCTTTATCATTATCAACTCCCCCCCATCCTCCCTTCCTCTCCTCCAGGAGTCATATCTCTCCCTCGCTGATGTGCCACTAAGCGTAATGAATTTTTTATACCCCCCCTACCTCCGTCCCACCCCACCTCTCAACCTCTCCTGCCGCACCAGAGGAAGAAAGGGAGGAACTAAAAAAAAAAAAAAAAAGACGAAAAAAAGGGAGGTGATTGATGTCCCATGTCACTGCAAACAAAATGGCAAATATAATTTAGCATTTAGCTTATGCGGAGATAATGGGGCGAACACGCACAGGCAACACGGGCTCAAACAAACAGCCGGGCTTGTTATCCGTCAGGAGCGCTTTGGAGCGATGTGGAGCACAGGTTAGGGAGAGAGAAAAATGAGGAGAGGGCGGAGGGACAACGTTAAGGCAGGGAATTGAATTAAGGCGGAGAGGTTGCGTGGCGGCGGCGTCTTCAGTCACTCTGTTTGGACGGGAATTACCCGTGCGCTTGGCTCGCTGTCACCAGAGACACGGCTGCACTCTGCCTCGCTACTTACGGCCTTTTTATCCAAACCATTAAGCGCCGAGCTGTTTAATATGACATGCAACGTTGACAGAAACTATTTGTCATGATTATAAGGCAGCTGTTGAATGGCCAAATGCATTTAAATGGACTCTGTGAACTCGCCTTTTACAATACACTGGGAAAAGTTTTCAGACCCCAAACCTCTGTGTAATTTTGTGGCATTTTCTTTGCCACAAAATTTTGCAATTGTAAGGTAAGTTATTTTTTTAGAAATAAAAATTTGATGAACAGAAAAGGTGTCTTAAATACAGCACATTTCAAATCTTACAGCAGGATTTCTTGTTTTTGCTAAAAAACCGAAACAGGTTTTCTTTCAACATTGGCTTTAACTTTACCACTCTTGCATAAAAACTAGATTTCTGGAGTATTTGGTTAATAATTGCCCTGATTTTTCCAACTGAGGTTTTGTCCCTGTTGAAGGAAAAAAAAGAAAAACATCTTCACAGCGTGGTGCTGCTGCCACCATGATTCACCAAAGGAATAGTGAAATTTGAATGATGGATATCGGTTGCCCTCTCTACACTTGACATTTTGAATAATTTTGATAGTCTTGCATGTTTGACCCTGTCAAAGCCTCTGGTCAAGGTTGGAGACCGTTTATCTGCTCTGTCTCAGGTCATTTCAGTATAACAGGTGTGTTAAATGCACTAGTTGAAGATGATCTCCGGCTCTCATCCTGTGCTTTACTCTTACGACTTCTAAAGTTTCTCCAAAGTCACCCCAACGTCCGTTGCCTGGCCTGACTTGGAAGGTTTTTACCTCCACACTCATTAAAGTATCTGAGAATGGATTGATCGTCCTCCAACAGATGTTAAAACCTTGAAATATTCCTATAAAACCTAACTCTGCTTTAATCTAATCCATCCCTTCCTCCCTGACCTATGTGCTGTGTTCCTTCATCTTCATGATGCTGTTTGTCCACTAATGCTCCCTAATAAACCACAGAGACCTTTAAAGAGCAGAGGTATTTCTATCGAGATTAAATTGCACACAGGTGGATTTACAAAATAAAATCTTCTGAGAATTGTACTCAATTCTTTTAGGGTGTCACATTAAGAAGCGTAAATTTCAGACAGATTTTTCTTTGTAAACAAATTTCTAAGGGGTAGTTGTACTCCTGCAGAGCACAATATCTAGTAGCTGTAAAGACGTTGCGTTGGGAAGAAGCAATATTGCAAGCTTTATTAAAAAGCAGCACCGAATTCCTCAGTGAAACGAAGCACTTATCACATGTGGTATTAAAGAAACCACCTGATGGCAAATTGGAGTTAATTGCACATCCTGGTTTTTTGCAAGACTTTTCTGGTGCTGAACTTTTACGCATGCAAAGCTGCAGCCAAAAGAGTAAATGAACTCAAGCATTGAGCTCAGTGATGCTTTCTTGCAGTCAGAAGCAAGCAAATAAGTAGGAGCAGTCGATGTATCGCCGCCGTTCCAGGGAAACTGTGGACAAGAGGCGGCTTATGGTGAAATATTGAATTGTTTTAAGACAAGTTCCCCAAACGTGTGCAGAATTAATCGTTATTAGCCTTCTCAAAGATATGCCTAAGTACACAGGGACTATTATTGCGGTACTTCCCCATGCAACCTTTCATTACGGCCTGTAATTACAGTTGGGTTGGCCCTGCGGCACTTCCATCAATCCAGTCAGCTTCCCCCCGCCGTGCCGCGTGAGCCAGCCACCACCGGGCGTCCAAAAAAACACGATGAACGCCCAGCAGCTTGTTTCCTCTCTGCCACAGCAACACATCCACCATCCGTACTCCGCAAATGAACAGAATCACATCCTATTACGGTGAAGGGCCTAATTGAAACATGTTTATTTATGGCCCCTCGTTTTTAGACCAGAAGCAGGCGTTAGCAGCGAACAGCTAACGGGGCTCCGGTAATATGAGGCGGTGGAATTAAATTAAAAGCTCATAAAATGAAATATGCTCCGTATTAGCTGTTTGACACTTAATTTGCCTTCAAATGAGCAGAGGAAATCAGAAATTAACTGTCCTTTGTTTTTTTCCCCCTGCTCTTTACCTCACCTCCTCTATTAAGAAAGGGAGAACGCAATTACAGACAGAGGCTAATCGTTTAGTTTATGAATTCCTGTGGGGAAGGTACCAGTGTGCCAATATTACAGCCTCAGGGTCAGGTGAGGTGGTGGGGGTCCCTTCTTTTGCTTTTACAACAAAACTTACATTCTTGCATGACAAAAAAAAAACCCTAAAAAAAACATCTTTACTTGAGTAGATGAAGAACTTTCCTATCTAAAGCCTCACAGGCCAGCTGGTCTGATCCTGGTCCAGATGAAGTCTTCTCTGTCTTGAATCCAGGTGTTGATCCTCTACTGTCTCTCTGATCCAGAAGCATCTTTTATTCATCCTCACGAGACAGCAAGATCAGGAATGTCTGGAATATCAATTTGAGTTTTCCAGGTCTTGGTAGTAATGGAAAAAAACCCAACAAGTACATCCAAAATATTTGGTTTTTCCAGACCGTTATTTCACACCTTCCTTCCTTCCTTCTTTTCTTCTTACGTGTTTCCCTTCCTTACTTCCCATCTTCCTAGCAAGTAGGAATAATTTGGGTAATTCTGACTAACCTAAAACAAGAAAAGTTTGGACTGTAAATATTTGGTTTCAACTGTATCTTCTTCATATCCCTTTTTCCTTCCTTTATTATGTCTCCTTTGGTCTTTCCATTTTTCCTTTCTTATTTCTTTCCTTCCGCTGTCCTTTTCTTGTTTGTATCCTTTCCCTCTTCCTCTCTCTCCCTCCCTACTATGTTTCCTTTTCTTTATGTGCACCCTCCCTTGTGCCCTATCTCTCTCCCTCCTTAGTGTCCTTTCATTTGTTTGTTCGTTCCTTCCTTCCTTCCTTCTTTCTTTCCTTCCTTCCAGGAGTTAATTTATTTTTGTATCCTTTCTTCCTTTCCTTTGTGGTATCATTCCCTTATTTTCAGTTCTTCCCTTCATACCTTTATTTGTTCTTTTCTTTCTACTGACCTTCCTTCATTTTCCCCTCCTTTTTCTAAGTTCCACACATAAGCCCTGCCCACAGTGGAAATGTCTGCCAAAACCACACAATAAACTTTAGTGCAACACCTTTTAAAATATAAAGGACTGAGATCTGTGGAAAGCTGAGTCTGTAAAATGTGGAGTTTTAACTTCAAATATTTACATCATCCAGAAAAGATGTTCCCTGTTTAAACAAACACATACATAAGTGCATATTGGGCCCTCCATAGGAAGCTCTGGTCCCCTCTAGCACCACCACTGGTGCAGGACTGGACTTAACGGGACTTTTTTGGAAGCCATGTCTTTCATCCCTCCGCCCCCATGCAGTGTGATGCCAGTCCTCGGTCACCCGGAGACGGCCCGTAACAAACAGAGGAATTTGTCACAAGTCAATTATCGGCTGCAGAGTTTACTCTGGAGTCCCAGGCCCTCGTGCTGTGAATGGGGGTGCCACTAAAACCACAAAACAATCCAACAGGATGGGCAATTGACTTGCAACCTTTTGACTTGCTCACTGTGTGCAAATTTACAGAAGAATGAAGGAAAAGTGAGTTAATTTAGAATGCTTTGAAGGTGCTGAACATAGTTTTAGAGTAAAGTTATGACAAAATATCCAATCTTGCATTTTGTCCCATCTTCTTCTTTTGCTAATTCTGAGAAATCTTGCAGCTTTGCACTGCCAGCTCATGGATTCTGCATTTTTAGACTTTACAGAAAACAAACTGGGGCTTTGAGTGTGTGTCTCTTAGTTCCCCAGTTGTATAGTTTGCC